GCCTGTTGAGACGCCACATGTCAGTGTCTCACATTTAGGTAAATTGATCATTGCCTATGAGGTGAGTGAACTTTCTGGTAACAGTGAACCGGTTGCACACAAAACAGAACATGAATGTGTTTCACATCAACAAGTGCCCCTTAATTCTCAAGCCCGTGTGACAACTGACTCTCTACTAAGTATAAACAGAGAGATGCCTTCAGCAACATGCAGAGATGCTCATGGGAGCCATCATTCTCTGGAGGATGGAGCAAATGTTATCACTGATACTCAAACCATTCCTGCTGAGACAAAAATGGAAGCCATGTCTCCACAAGGTGACAAAGCCTGTGGTGCCTCTTCATACATACAAACCCTAAGCATTAAAACAAGAAGCCCAGAAGGGCAAAAAGAAATGGCTGGTCTACATTCCATGCTACTCTCAAGAGTGAAAGAAGCGGCTGGCTTTTCCTTTGTCACAGAATGTCAAAATGTTCAGCCTCAGGATATCCCCAGCTGTCACTGCATAACAAGAAATGCATCTGAAAAGAACATGTGTTCTGCTTGTGCTGCCAACAACTGTGTAAGAAAATGTGGAGATGCTCACTGTATCAATCACTGCTTCCAAAGACCACAAGATGTTGTGGAAAATAGTACCCTCTCAGAGAATGGATCTGCTGGAAGAGAGACTCGAATCATTCTAGGAGGCAAGATCAGGAATGAAGTGACAGCAGGGGTGTCAGATAGTGGCTCTCTGAATATAGCCACTCATGTGGAAACCAGTGAGGAAGCACTGGGTGGAAAGAAACAAGATAAATACAGAGACACTGAGATATATAAACACAGCACCTCTGCTTGTAACACACAAGAACTAAACCAATCTACAAACATTCCAGGTCCTGAAACATTAGTGGACCAGTCTCTGACTGTTACTTCATCTCATTTTAAAGCCATGTGCCAAGCAGCTGAAAGTCTTGACCAGAAAGCAGATGAAATCTCTGATTGCCAGAGTAACCAAAATAGTCTAGATAAAGGCAGAAGTGACAGTAAGGCAGCTAGGAAAGGACTAAATGGTGGCTGTCAAGAGACTTTCCCTGAGGTAAGCCACAAGGACAAGGATCTGATTATCAGTTTAGGCAGTAAAATCCCTCTGTCTTGTGGTAGTTTAAAGAAAAAAGATCCCCAAAGAGCCTTTGAAGATATTCCTGGTTCTGAAGGGTGCACACAAAGTATGATAGATATGGTATGTCCGGACTGCACAGATGAGCCTACAGAGAGAATGCTGGGTGTGGAAGCATTTAGTTTATCTGGTCATTGTACAAGGCAACACACACTGGCATCCTGTGAGACCTTAAGGAGAACCTCATCTCTTCAAGGAGAATTGAATGTTGTATTTACAGATACAACTGGTCAGGACTCAGAACTCCCAACTCCTGCTCCCTCTACAGGAGACTCTCCTGAAATACAAAAATCATGTGAGAAAGAATGCAGATGTCTAAAAGTCCGTGAAGGCGAAGAATGTCCAGACTCTGCCCTTGATCGTGAAGTGGAATCTGTTGCAGATCGCGAACCACATGTAAGAGCACTGGCTAGAGGAGGTGTGTCTTTTGATTATATTCCTTGTGAGCATCAAGAGAAAGGTGCATCTGTGACAGAAGGACTGAGACTAGAAGCAAATTCTGAGTTTGGCAAGGAGAAAACCTTTGGATCATCATCAAATGGCTCAGTGTCTTGTAGGCGTGGAGACTCTGTGGAGATGGTGCATTCCTGTCTGTCTTCTCAACATTCCCCAGCTGATGTTCATGGTGAACCACCGAACTTGAAACACCTATTTAAACCCAAAGATGGTGGAAGGCTTTGCGAAAATGTCAAGGATTGCACAGTCCTGTCTGACATGAAGGAAGGAATATCAATGGATTTAAGTAATCCTAGTAAAGGAAATGGCACATACACCAGTGTGGACAAAAATGTTTGTAAAGCTTGTTACTCTTATGAGAATTCCATTGATAAGTATTTGCCTATGACAAGGGAAACAGCAATTAAAATGAATGAAGAAGAAATGGAAGACCATCAGAAGGGACCACTGGGTCACTTACCTGTTGGGGAAAAATCTGAGGAGACCATTACTAGAGAAGGTCATGATGGTAATTTTCCTAAGAGTTCTCAGACCCACATGAAATGCCACAGAGTGCAAAACGTTGCTGAAACCCCGCAAAACCAGAGAATTTGGGACTACAGCTTGCCAAAGGAAGAACATAAATATCAAAAGGGCACACTTGCACTGTTGGAACGGCAACCTGTGGCTGACCAGGATGAGTCCATGATGGAAGAAGTCACCCTAAGAAAGTCAACCAAGGACAAACTTGCTAAACAGAACCAGAGGTTGGGAAACACAAAAGAAGAGAACTTATGTCATCCATTAAAGAAAGACATTGAGTTATGCATAGGTCCTTGCCTTCCTGGTGCCTCCTGGAAAGAACATGACTCCAGCTCTGCTGGAGGTGATCAAATACATGGTGCCTTCGTGACTATCTCATATCAGCAAAGATTGCTTCCTGTAAAGAAGCAACCTCATCGAACGTGTAAGAGAATTTCTTGTCCAGAGCCAGTCACCATGCGGAAAAAGAGAAGTAAGGTGAGGAATTCTGAGTGTGGAAAGAGTTTCTCTAACCCAGTCCCCACAAAAGCACACAGACTTCTCAGCCCATGTGCTGTGCCTGCCCTGCCATTGGAACCTGAAGCAGTAGCTACCAAGAGCTTGTGTAGCCACATACCAAAGCCGAAGGCTACTCTGTGCCATTCGCTGAGGAGCCTGAGTTGTAGGAAGCCTACCAAAGAATCAGCCTTACTAAACAAGCTGTCTGTCCTTGCCTCCAAACTGGCTCTGGCAACAAAGCCCCAGAAACTGAGATATCGGCGCTATTCCTCTTCCCCTGTTCCATTGCCTAAAAACTGCAAGCGCCTCAGATACAAAAAGCTCCTAGATGGATTTTCATATAATGCAATGCGGTTGGACCCATATTTGGCAGCTGCTGGGTGGAAGAGGGGGTTTAATAGTAAGCCTTTGGCACTTTATTCTCTTGAAGCTGTGAAAATGAGCTTCATAGAGTTGAGCAACAAGATGCCATCCCTGCTGTTTGGTAACGAATTTCCATTTTCCTTTCATGTGAAATCAGCCTCCAATTGCATGGTTGAATCCTCCAGGACTTTTCCTGAGCACTGTGCTCCATCGAGGCTTGCCTTAGCAGAGGCCTCCCAGTGCTCAACTCCACCTCCCAAGTGGACCTTCTCTTTTTTATTGTCCCACGGTTGCCCTGGGATGGCCACATTCAGGGAAGACACTGGCCTCTGTAGTCACACACATACTCAGGCTCCTCTCCAGACTACAGCTCCTTTCCAAGACTATGGAGGCACTGCCATAGTTCAGACCAGAGCAGACTGCTCTGTCCTTGGCCTTCACACACTTCTAGCACTTTGTTCACCAGGATGTTACCGAATCTGGACAAAAAAACGGAACTTCTCCAATCATATGCCTATCATGCAGAGGCTCCTCTTGACCCAGTTTACACAGTGCTTAAAAGGGTTAAGGTCTCCAGCCTCTATAGCGGACAAGGTCTTCTGTTCTCTGCCCTACTCGGTGGGCCGAGTGTTGTCCATTTGGAGCCAGCATGGACCCTCCTGTACCTTCAAGCTGCCAGCTCTTCACTCTACTCAAAGCAAGCAGCAGGGGAGCCTGAGCACCCAGGGCAGGTAAGAGCTTGTCTCCTGTTCTCTCAGTGTGTTCCGTGTTTGTCTCCTCTCCTGCTGGTGGGGAAAAAGGAGGGCGATGCTGCAGGTGCAGGGCTGTCTGCTGGAGGCCTGGCTTCTTGTTATCTACATTGTTTACATTGTAAAGCTCCTGTTGAAAAAGCACAGCAGTAATTTTTTTCTTTTCCCATTTTGCAAGACAGGGATTCATTGTGTAGCCCTGGCTGTCTTGGAATTTGCTCTGTAGACCAATCTGGCCTCAAACTCAAGAGATTCAGAATGCCTGTGCCTCACAGTTGGCTAGAATTAAAGATACATGCCACATGCATGCTGTATGCCACCATCTTTCATTGTTTTATTTGTGATACTGTAGCTCAGGTTGGCTTGGAATTCAACATCTTGCTTTGGCCTTGAGTGCAGGGATTACAAGTATGAACCATCATGCTTCAGCTGTCTCTACATTTCTTTCTATAGTATAGGCTTCAAAGTTCACATTTGTATACGCTGGTTTTGGGACTTTGTAGTGAACTGGAAAGAAATTCCTTTTTTTTTTTTTCGGGGGTGAGGGGAGGTGTGTTGAGGGGGTTCCTCTGGCTGTCCTGGGGCCATGCTGTAGATCAGGCTGGCCTCAAACTCAGAGATCTGCCTGCCTCTGCTTCCCAAGTTCTGGGGATTAAAAGCATGCGCCACTACTGCTGGGCTGGACAGAAGTTCTTGTGGTTTCACTGTTTAGAATAGGGGAGAATAATTTCGTCAATATTATTGTGCCCTAAATGATGTTAGAAAAGGACTAGGGATGTAGCTTAGTGGTTTGCTTGGTTATTATAAGACTGTAGGTTCAATACCTAGCTTAGAGAAAAAAGGAGGGAGGAATTTAAGATTTAAAATTTCCCTTTTTATTAGCTTTTTTTAGATGAGAGTATAATTTGTATAGTGTTAATTCTTAGTATGGGTTAAAATGCTGAAATCAATCCCTACACTAAAATTGTCCTCAAAGAATTGTGATATATAAACCTTTCTACTGAAATTCTTTAGATGAACAGAAGCTCTGTCTAATTCTTTTCTTTTTAGTGGTGAAAAAAGTGTATATTTAGAATTAATCAGCTGAAGTCAGTTTAGATGATCCCAGTATTGTTGGCAACATTCAGAGCATCATAATCAGGAGCCAACTGAACATGCACACCTCCTCTCTGTCAGGGCTGAGTGGAGAAGGAGCCTCAGAGAATTGGATGCTCTCCCAGCTCGGTCCCTCCTACTCCTCCCCTCGTGCTCTGCTGCACCAGTGCTTCCTTTGTTGCTGTCATTCTTTCTTTTCCAAACAGTGAGTTTTCCATCATTTGCATCTTTTTGTTCTGCCTGCCTCTGCCTCCCGAGTGCTGGGATTAAAGGCCTATACCATCACTGCCTAGCTTCCGTGTCATTTTTAATTTGTTCTTAGTATTGCTGCAGCTAATATTTCAAATCAAAACAAACGCACTCAGCATCTAATAATTCAAAAAGCCAGGCTGTTGAGGCAAGAAGATTGTAGTAGGTTTAGGACTGGTTTAGGTTTAGGAGTGGTGTTGTTTCAAAAACACTTTAAAGGGGCTGCAAAGATCTCTCAGCAGTTAAGGGAACCCCAGTTTGTTTGGTTCCTTTTAACACCAGTCCTGTAAATCTAGTTCTTAAGATCTGCCATCCTCTTCTGGCTTCTGTGGACACTGAATGCATTTGGTGCACATACATACATATAGGCAAATGGCCATAAACTGTTATACCAGGATCATGGGACCCTCAGAGACCACCAGGAGATGACTCGATGAAATAGCAAGAGAGCTTTATTATGAGACTGATTGAACTCGGGACCCAAGTCTTACTGACACAGCAGCAGAGAAGTGGGACCTCGAGCTCTGAGTGTGCAGGGTTTTAAAGGGAAAGTCTGTGAGCACAGGGTTTCCATGACAGCAAACAGGGGGGTACATGTCTTGATGTTACAGGATTAGGTAAAAGTTAGAGGGGTGAGATGACCTTCTCTGAGGCACATAATCACAATTGCCTAAGGCATATAATCACAATTGCTATTCTTCTAAACTATATCTGAAACATTGGGGAGAATTTTCCCAGCTGATTCCCAACCAATTCTCATTGATTATTGCCAGGGAGAGTATCTCTATTTTCTATGAAGTATTTATTCTGTGATATTTCCTGGAGGCTGTTCCAAGGAGAGTCAACTTTGTTGTCTGCCAAGTGTACATTCTGAGATATTTCCTGGTCTCTGAGTTCAGCTCCCAGTCAAGATGGCTCTTTATTTCAAAATGGAGTTATACCCAGGCTAACTTAAACTCTTCAATATATAAAATTGTCATTCGTCTATCTATCTATCTATCTATCTATCTATCTATCTATCTATCTATCATCTATCTATCTCCCTACCTACCTACGTACCGACCTATCTACCTATCTGTCTAGGTTGTTTGAGATAGGGATTCTCTGGGTAGCTCTGGCTGTCCTAGAACTCGCTCTGTAGACCAGGCTGGCCTCTAACTCACATAAATCTGCCTGCCTCTTCTGAGTGCTGGGACTAAAGGCATGCAGCATCATTACCAGCTACACAGAATTATTAAATTTGTAAAATAAATAAATAAATTGAATGAATTAGTGAACGAATGGGGTGCCTCCTGGCAAGAGGGTTCAAGGAATAAGCTGCCAAGCCTGACAGCCTGAATTAGATTCTTAGAACACGCATAGTGGGAGGAGAAAGATGACAAGTTGTTCTTTGTTCTCCGCACACGTGCCATGATATACACATGGTGTATATGTACAAAATAGGAAAATATACCTTAAAATTAAAAAGGATCAGATTGTTTCAAATGATGGCATATTGCTTGTACTGTCTAATATTTTGGTCTGTCTCTAGTATGTAAATTGTTATAATTGTTTGGTGCTATAAGTGTGTAGTACACAGCTTTAAAGTGTTGTATCCCTCCACTTCCTCCCAACACACACATAGTCTTTTTCTATCTTCCCTTTATTTTCTTGAGTGCTGTGTTAGTATTCAGGATGTGACACTTGACCGTTTCTCTTTCAGAACTCTTTCTCACCTGGTTTTTCTAATTCCTAACAATATTTTTACTTCCTACGTTCTATCATTTTATACGTAGCTTGCTTTCTTTTTTCCTTTTGATTTTTTGAGACAGGGTTTCTCTATAGCTTTGGCTGTCGTTTAACTTGCTCCGTAAACCAAGCTAGCCTTGAACTCAAAGAGATACACCTGCCTATGCCCCCCGCAAATGCTGGGATTAAAGGTGTGTACTGCCACTGCCTGCCTGGCTGCCTTTTTTTTTTTTTTTTTTTTAAGATAGGATCTCATTGTATAGGCCAGCCTCTGCTCCACTGTACTGGAATTAGGCATGTGCTACTACATCTAGTATTTTTATTTATTTTTGAGATGAGTTCTCTCCCTGTTCTCTCTGTTGCTTAGGTGATCTCAATGTCTGTGTTACTGCACTAAGCACTTGAAGCCTTTTTTTTAATCTGATCGTTTGGTTGCTTGTGATTTCTCCACTGAACTAGAACTGGATACAAAGCCTCTTAAATCCTGTTTAATGTGCTCTTTCCGCTGTCACACTCTGTTTCTCATTTGTCTTACTGAGATTCTTCACCTGAAATCTTAATCTGTAACTATTTGAGAAACCTGACTTTTTTTCCTAGCGGTTTAACAAATTGCTAATGTTAATGTTAATGAGATGAGGGGTAGGGTTATCACACAGGCTCCACATTTGTAAAAGTATAGATTATGCTAAAATCAGCAGAACTTTGTGCTAGTCTTACTTTGAAAGGCACTAACGTTTCCAGCATTTCATATGAATGTATCTCTAAGCCATTGGTAGAGGAATTAAATGAGCTGTTCTTTAGGCATGTAGCTGTGCTTTATGTCCCTTTTGGCATTAAAGAAAATGTATTTGTCCATAGTATTTTATAAGGTTGTACAGAATGGCAAAATTTTAAAAGATTTATTTATTTATTATGTCTACAGTGTTCTGCCTGCATGTATGCCTGCAGGCCAGAAGAGGGCACCAGATCACATTATAGATGGCTGTGAGCCACCATGTGGTTGCTGGGAAACTGAACTCAGGACTTCTGGAAGAGCAGCTAGTGCTCTTAACCTCTGAGCCATCTGTCCAGCCCCCAATTTTTTTTTTTTTTTTTTTTTTTTAATTTCTGTCTGAGTGTTTTTCTTGAGTGTATGTCAGTGGGACACATGTGCCTGGAGGCCCACAGAACCCTTGCAACTGGATTATGAGTGGTTATGAGTCACCATGTGGGTACCAGGAACTGAGCCTGGGTTCTCTGCAAGAGTAACAAAGTACTCTTAAATGCTGAGACATTTCTTTAGCCTCCTTAATTTTTATGTGTGTTGCCAGGCATGGTAGCACAGGCCTGTAATCCTAGCACTTGGGAAGCAAAGGCAGGCGGATCTCTGTGAGTTTGAGTCCAGCCTGGTCTACAAAGAGAGTCCCAGACAGCCAAGCCTCTGTTAAACAAAGAAACCCTGTCTTTAAAAACAAAATAAACAAACAGTGTTTTAATGTGCATTGGTGTTTCACATGCAAGTGTGTCTATACCACATGTGTGTAGTGCCCGGGGAGGTCAGAAGAAAGTACCAGACCCCCTGGAACTAGAGTTGCAGACAAGTGTGAGCTGCCATGAACTTAGAGATCCGAGAGATCTGTCTGCCTCTGTGGCCTAAGTGCTGGGATTAAAGGTGTACCACCACCACCTGGTGGCAATATTTGTTGTAACAGTTAATATGGACCTGAACAGTATCTTCTTATATTTTCATTATACCTTTTAATTTGTATGTATAGATTTTGGGGGGGGCTATGCATGTGCCACGGTGTGTGTGTGTGTGTGTCTGTGTATGTGTGTGTGTGTGTGTGAGTCAGAGGACAACTTTAGAGTTGGTTCTCTCTTTCCACCTTTATGTGGACTCCAGGAATCAAACTCGGCTGTCACCTTTCCTTGTCAGACACTATGTGTCTTTACCTGCTGAGCCATCATGCTTGCCCCATTTTTCTGTTTTTTTGAGCCAGGGTCTTATGTAGGTCAGACTAGCTTCAAACTCAGTGTCTCAGCGTGATCTTGAACTCATCATGATGCTGCCATATGTACAAGATTCTGTGTTACTGTTGTTGTGTTTGATTCTCTTATGCCTAATTTTTTCAAACATTTGTTTGTTGTACGTGCGCACGTATGTGAGTGTTCATGTGCTGTGGTGTGCATATGCCAGGCAGCAAAGTTTTGGGGAATCCATTCTTTTCTTTCACCCCATAAGTTCCTGAGTTTGAACTCAGGTGGCTAGGTGTGGCAGAAAGACCTTTTGCATACAGAGCCATCTTACTATTTCTTTTTCTTTTTCTTGTTTAGATTTATTTATTTATTATGTAGACAGTGTTCTATCTGCATGTGTGCCTGCACACTAGAAAAGGGCACCAGATCTCATTACAGATGGCTGTGAGCCACTATGTCGTTGCTGGGAATTGAAATCAGGACCTTTGGATGAGCAGCCAGTGCTCTTAACCTGAGCCATCTCTCCAGCCCTTACTATTTCTTATTTTCAAAATTTTAAACGAATCTTAACATGTCTGTTTACCAACTTAGTTAAAAGTCTCAAAGTCATTCTTTTCTCTGTCCTTTCCTTTACTGTCTTGCTTTCTTTACACCTTTTCTGGTAAAATTAGGAAGCCCTCTTCCTACTGGCTTATGTCCACCCTAGAGGTGAGCACATGAGCATCGTCTCACAGTTGGGAGGCTCCTTTTCCTGCTTTGAGCAGAGCCAGCTGCTGCGGGAACAGCCGCCCCCTTGCCGTTGTCCACTTTCATAACCTGCTGCTTTACTTGTGCTTTACTCCAGCCTCACCACCACACCACATGTGCCTCTTCCAGGCATGGAAGCTATCCGTAACACCAACAGCAGTCACATGAGGTAAGCCTTGGCACAGGGCTTGAAGTGGACGGGTATGTGGGGGAGAATGGACTTAGTGTTCGTGGGCCAGGCATGGCACGGCTCTAACCTCTTGTCTCATCAGTCTTACTGCATATAGGTCTCAGATGGAGATCCCTGAGGTTCAGTTGTGCTTTGAATAAATAACGAGGAGGGCTGTTTAATTAGCGCCATTTACTTAGAAAAGTCGTCAGCAAGCTTATTAGCATTTCAAGGTGTTTCCCGTCCTGCCTCAGTGCTAGTCCTCAATGGGATTGGTCTCATTTGAGCAGTGTTCATTTGTTCATTCACTAAACGTCTTCTCACCAGTCTCTGCTTATTTACACACTTTTTAAAAATAAAACTACTATAATTTTTATA